ATTATCATATTTTGTTTCTCTAAAAGAATGATCAAGATAAATGTGCAAATTTAGCAAAATTGTTTAAATAAATACCATTATTTCTTTCATTTTTTTCAGTTTAGAGCCAACCGGTCTGATGCTATAAGTCACAATCTTCATTTCATCTGATCTGTGTGCATCTTGCATCAAGGAATAACATCAAACCTAATGCTTCTTTTTAGCACCTTGAAGTAAAAAAGCCTTAACACTCACTTGTGGCCTATCTCGTGTGCAATGGTGAACGCCGAGCCAAGGCCGATGTCTTCGTTGATGCTGCAGCTTCTCTCCGGCTCACACATTCCAGCTACTGAGGCCAAGCCTGCAGATCCATACATGCCACACAGGCATACAAACACAGGGTCAAGGAAGAGCATTGTCAGGGGTTACGCCCATATAAAAACAAAAACAACAACAACAAAAAACTGAGATTTTAGATCAAACAAAAAACATAGATTCAAGATGGCGATTTTAGCTTGAAATCATATGAGTGACTGAATTTTCTGAAAATGACTCCAGAAAAGGACAGGGCATGGATTTGGACATACAAGTTAGTGCCTACACTGCCAGCCTAGTTAGGGAATGCTAAAACCCCTCACTAATGGAGCGCCCCAGCAGAAACCTGTCTGACAATATCTCTTTTTTCCCCCATCGGGGGGTTAAGGTGAAAATCCAGGTGTCGGAGGTCCTTTATTCTCCTAAAGCCTGGCAGGTCAGATAAAGAGACCCGCTGGCAATTCTTCACAGATTACATCTACCTGCCTGAAAGGGGATCATATAACACCACAAAGCAGGTGTGTGTGTCTGTTGGAGAGTGTGTGAGTTCTTGTGTAAAGGCTCACTTTGACTAAAGCATGAACATAGCTTTACCATATGTGTGTATTTTTTATTAAGTAGCTCTGTGCTGTGACCATAGCACCTTCTCTGGCGTGATTTAAAAAGCTGGACACTTATTTGTTGTCAAGAAAATTTGCAAGCTAAAGATTAAGGAGCCATACTTCTGCAAGACGGGACACAGAGGAATATTTAATTTAATTGATTGAGGGTCAGCTACATGGAGTAATTTTTCAAAATAGTTTGTTGGTTTTTGTTGTTTTCTGTTGTTGCTTTATTTATAGCTCCCAATTGGTGGTACAACCTTAAATGTGAATGTTTTGAAGGAGATTTTATTAAATAGGTCTTTTCTAGTACAAAACCAGGAGGTGGACACCAAATGTTAATCCTTTTTTCACATTTTTTAAGAACTAAAAACAATCGAAAAAATTGAGCCATGCATTTTTGGACAGGGCTGGACTGGGCATTGGGCATACAGGGCATATGCCAGGTGGGCTGCACACATTGTCATCAAAAATGTATTTATCATGGCTATCTTCAATATTTTTTCAATTTTCAAAATGATGATCAAGTCACAGGGATTTAAAAATAAATTTCCATCAAAAAAAATCAGTAAAGCATTTTTTTTTTGTTTTTTTTTTGTAAGAATATATTATTTTGTGTATTTTACATTATCAGATATTTGCCAACAACTTTATGTTTGCTTTATTACATTTAAACTAGGGATACATTGTATGATCTTTTCAATCGTTGCATGCAGCTACGGCTCAAACTGTACGACAAAACCGTGGGGTTTAAAAGTTCACCGCTCACCGTGTATGTTCTAACTGCTAACACTGTACGTCCAAAAATCACATGTCAGACTCAGCGCCGAGAGATGGCGCTGGTTGGACTCGTCAATCTGGAAGAAGAACAACTCCCTTGTTTGCACATGAACGGGGCTCGAGGTTCTGGTAAATGGGCTCATAGCTCTGCTTTAATAGCAGGGTTGGCCCACAAAAACCTCACGAGGGCCAACTGGATTGCAAACATGTTTGATTTTCTCCCGACCTTAAGATTCCTTTTTGGCCAATCGAAACAATTCTCGCACGACTGGAGAATTGGCCCAAAAAGGGAAGAAAAATTTTATAGTGGGCAAATAAATGTTGATCATTTACTTAATATCTAAGTGTCCTTTTAATCAAATTGTTTTTTCCTTCGCTTGAGTTATTTCACAACATATTTATTGTTAGGAATCCAGTTTGTGTGGCTTGTGTTTTTGTTTGTTTTTCCCTCCACCACCAGGTGGCGCCTGGTTTCCAGTTAGCCTTCTCAAACACCTGCGGATGGTTGCCTCTCGGCAGGAAGTCATCCTGCAAACTGGATTTTTTTTGGACCTTCTCCCCCTGGAAGGATTGTCTGAGTGTCAAACTGAGCTGAGGATTCAAACAGGTGGTTTGGATCAACTTTTCCCCAAGGATTGTTCGGGCTTCACACTGAGCAGGGGATTCATCTCCACAAAAAAACATTCAATTACCATCGGAAATCTAAGTTGCAGTCAGCTCCTCCGTTCTTCAAGGAAACACCTCAACCTGGATAAACCCTGTCCGCCCTCCAACGAGCAAATCAATTACTAGAACAACCCACACCGGCTGGATTCAAAGAAAGACACCTTTTCTGGAAACGTAAGTCCTGTTGCCTTTATTCCCTTTAACAAATTGAAACACAAATTTCCCAACAATCAGTTGCCTTTGCAGTTGCTGATTAAACTCCATCTTTAGGTAGTCTAACTAGTATAAACCCATGTGTTCTTTGAATGCCTCAAATCTTAAATAGACAACATTATTGAAGAAAAGACAACATGAAGCCCAGGGACCAAAGCATCTAAAGCATCTTAACCATCTCATAAAACAGCTTTTTTCATGAGGAGCATGGTGACCTTGGAGGAACTGCAGAGGTCTGCAGCTCAAAAAGCCAAATCTCTCCACACATAACCATCTGCTGTCTTCTTCAAAAACATATCCTTTATGAACGAATAGACAAGAAGGAAGCTTAGGTCGGTTAAAGACCATAATAAGGTTTGGTTTGTCCCCTCCTTGCAATGGACACAGCAAACATGTTTTAAGAAGCTAAACACTGGGTAATTCTAGAAAGAAACCTGCAGGTGATGGGATCAGGCGTGACACTGGAGCACAGGTTAACTTTCCAAAAGGAGAACAAACCAAAACTTCAGGAGTTTCCATGGATTTGATCAAATGATAGTCATGTCTATGAAGCGAATAGTCAAGGTCCATACCTACATATATTGGAGAATTTGTTTAAAAATTTGATTTGGCTGAATTTTCTCCATCCAATCTGGATGCCGATGAGCAAAACCTACAGAGACTTACCCTAAAATGGGGGTAAGCCTTAAAACTAAGATGTTCATCCATTAAACCTTTACAATTTGATCCTACTTTCTGTTGGTCTTTAACATAGAAAACTAATGGAATACAATAAGATTTCCTGATCTTAGATTGAATAAAACAAAAAGGTGAATAATAAAGGATGTAAATGATACTAAAGTTAGTTTAGTTGTGAGGACAACATGGCTGACATCTTGGATCAGTTATAAACTCTCTTTCACATTTTAGAGTAGTGCCAAACAGAGCTCCCTACTTAAGGTGGCTTGGCTTTAGTATCCTCTGCCCTAAGAGGCTAAAACAAGAATAGACACGCAAGTCAGGAGGCTACTGGAACCATTACTGCAGGAAAAGAGGGAGCCTGGAGGTGAAGAAAGGAGGAGGTGAGGGAGGGAAAGGAAGGAGTGTGGCTACTCTGCGATTAGTTGTGGGGTTGGGGAGGGGTGGGGGTGTTGAGTGGAAACCCACACTGCATTGAAAGCTGTTTTCTTAACACCAGGGCGTACTGTGCATTATCTCCAGCCCCGTGATTACTCAGCGACCCTAAAGGTCTGCCCCAATCTGACCTCTGAGCATGATCCTCGACGAGGAGAGGGAGGTGGGGAAGAGGGGAGGGGGACGGTGAGGAAGCCAAGCAGATGCTTGGGCAAATAAAGCGACCGGGGGAATGTGACGAATGCGGTCAATCTGTCAAAGCCCCCCCTAAGGTCACAATAATACCTCAGAGATATACTGCGGAGCCTGCAGGGCCTTAACCATGATAAGACGGGAAGAGATGGACGGGGAGCAGGTTTGAGATGGATCTAAAGTAGCAGTTTCTACCACTGCTTGGTGTCCTTTCTCACCCAACACCCCCATATCAGCCAAAACTTGGTTATCATCCCCTTTATCTCCCTCCTTCATTCTCTAACGCTCCCTGTAATTGTCCTTTTCCCCTTCTATGTTCATTTCAGCTCCACCTCCTTGTCTCACAGTATATCACCCCTTTCTTTCACCCCTCCCCACCCTACGCTAAAGCCGCCAGTGGAATTGTAAACACCTTAAACAAACGAAGGTTAGAGCCGAAGGACAGACAGAATGGTTTTATAAACCCGAGCCCTGAGAGACGTTGACCACAGGTTCGGGGCTCCAAGCCTCAGCCAACAAGCGGGGGGCCGTCAAGGAGCTGTAATAACGCAAAATGAAAACATCCTTCTCATTATGTCTCACAGGAGCCGTCTGGAGTTCCTCTAAAGGAGACAGAAAGTTGCTAAATAAGGTTTGTCTGAGGACACACTGAAGGCTGAACGGGAAAAATTAACACCTTTCTAACCAGATTAGGTGATCAACAGTGTTGGTGAGAAACGTACGATCCACTCACCTAAAGTCCCACAGGGTTTGTTCTTGTAGGTGCAGATATCGTACCTAAAGAAAGAGGATAGAGACACAAATATTAGCATTAATTGAGCCCTTTTCTTTACCATCTACACAGCTTTTCCTCCACTGGCTGTCGGCCATTCCATTCTTTCTCTGTTTAATCACACAGTCTGGCCAGATATAATCTCAGCCTTTACTATAACAATGGTGAAGTCATGACAGGTTTTCTTCTAGAAAAACACCTGGTTGCCTCCTCAGTCCACTGCTTGAGCTCTTAACAAACTTAACTACAGCGCTAAAACACAAAGTTGGAAAAGTAGAAAGGCTTTGTTTAGGCCTTGTCCCTGCCGGTAACTTCAGATGGAGGTAATCCAATAAAGCAGAAGAACACTCAAAGCCGCTCTGCTGTAGCGACACATCATACATTTCAAACAAAGCATCTAATCATTGCTGAAGCTTTTAATCTATTAGATTCAAGGGCACCGATAATTAAATTTCATTATCCTTCTTCTCCTCTGTCCTCTTCTCTTTTTTCCCCGAATGAGGTGCAGTCTCATTCATGACATCTATTTGTTTAATGCAATTATCTAAATTTTTTACTTTTTCCTGGAACTTAAAACTCAGATATCCAACTGGGTGAAAAACTATATCATGATAGGGACCGACCGGCAAACAGGAATACTGTACAGCTTCTTTTACACTGAAATTAGCGGGTTAACATGGGATTTCCCAACACGGGTTGACCCGCCAACAATTGCCATTTGGCGCCCTTGCCATTGGCAAAAAAAAAACTGGGTCTGACCTCCCGCTGGCAAGCTGCATGGCCTCCATCCAGCCAATGCTGCGTGTCTGACATCATCACTCTGAGTCGGCTTTTATGATGTCAGCAGTGCGACAGAAATCAGGAAAGTAAACAATCAAGAGCAACATGGAAGAGAACCAGGCTGTAGTCATTGGGCTTTGTTGTTTCATTCTTTTGTCCCTCTGAATCTCTATCTCCTTGGGTCACTTTCAATAAGCAGGTTTCTGAAAACTCTATGGATTCTAAACCTGAAATACGGTAAGTAAAACTCTTGAGGTTTCCATTTCACAAAGAGAGTTTACTGAGTGTTTACTGTTTGCTTTCTGTTGCCACAGTAACATTCTACCCAGAGCTAACCTGGGTAGCAGCAGGTTTTGTTCAGTAAACAAAAAAAAAAAAGAATAATTACCTAGTTCCGTTAGACATATTAGGTTTCAAAAACAAACATAGCATGTCCGATTGACGAGGATCTTATTAAGGAAAGATCTGCTTTAATTCACAGAGAATGTAATATTTATAGGGAAATTTGGTTTTTTTTAACATGAGCATCATGCGGATCGTTCTTTTTTTAAGGCACACGAACAACTACTGAAATTATTTTCAGATTAAACATAAATAGATTAATTAATTCCATGGGGGGGGGGCTGATAACTGGCAATAATGCCCATTTATTAGGATGATAACATCCAAAGTGGCTGCAAATAGCCACTTAGATTTACTGTGCGATGGAAGACAGAATCTACATGAGGAGGAACTCCATGAGATGATGAACAGGTCCTATCTAATAAAACAAAGTTTTTAGACTTCAGTTTCAACATACTACGGAAAGCTAGTAGTAGTAAGCTAGTTTTGATATGCATTAATTTTGACTGAATATACTGATATCTGGAAAAAAGCCCAAGTTAAAATTACCATTTCACACAAAATGACTCTCTTCACATCTAGAATACATACTATGTATGTCGAAAAATTAAATATAGATCTCCATATTTCTGTTGTTATTGGTCATTATTTGTATTATCTTAACTATCAAGTAATTTATTTTAGATATCATAAATGTATATTCAGTCAAGCTGATAAAGTTTGAATGATCACTTAAAATGTGTTAACATTTCTAGATGTATAAAACTTATTTCTAACTGTTACAACTTTCTGCTGTAAAAATGGAATTTAGAACCTTTATTATTACAGTTCCCACTGTGAATATGATTTTGACCAGAAAGAATCCTATTTTAGTGATCTAAAAATGGAACAACACAGGGGAGAGTTTCTTTAATTAATGTTAAAATGGCCTGTCATAGACCAATTCGTATAAACCTACGCATTAACTTGAGCAGCAATTTTCTCCTACGCTATTTTCCTCTCCTTTGCAGCTGTAGCACTGTTTCTTTGCCTTTTAAATGAATTCTGCATGTTGTCATGGTGACTTGTTGAATCTGGGCTCCACTGATAATGGCTTTTCATACTTGTTATGCACGTGCTCAACTCTAATTGGATCTACTTAGAGTTGATTGAACTAATTCACAGCAGCCGTTGTAAAATCGAAAACTCTGAGTTCCTGACTTTAGGCTAGAGTTTGGGGATTGGAATCTGAGTTTGTTAAACCTGCTTACTGAAATACAACCCATTGTTGCGCCATATTATTGAATGTTAACAGAGTAAGTTTTGACTCGTTAGATCAGACACGACTGGCGCGGTGCGTTGACGTCCATAGTTTGAGCTCAATGGTATCATGTAAATTAGCGGGTCAACTCGGATCTGATGTTCCCACCCTATGCTGATTGGGGCCGAGTCGTTTGAAGGTGATTTTAACACGGGTCGCTTGCCGAGTTGTTTGACCTGGGTCAGTGAGCTATTCGCTCCACCACTATAAGATTGTTCCCAGATTTAAACTGGTTTTTCAGCCGGTGGCAATGTTGGATTAGAGTCACTTTGTTTGAGATAAGTAAAAAAAAATCTTACAGTAAAAAAGGTGAAAATTTAAAATGATTGTTACTCCTGTGATGGTTTTGTACGTAGCTCATTGTGTCATACATCGCTAACAGTTAAACACATTTTGAAAAGTACATCATGTCTGATCGCAGGTTGAAAGCATCTGTGACATTTTTGTGTTTTCACAAACACATTCCTCTAATCCCACTACAGCTCTAACCGTTTGCGACCAATCCAAAACGGATGTAAACATTTTATGTATATTACATTAGCACACTTGGCTCTCGTAGCTGCCCAATTATTTAACATCACATTGATATTTCAATAGTATTTTCATGAAAATTAAATAATTATTTTTGTGATTTTGGTCTTCTTCTATGTTTTACGCTACTGTTTAATCTGTTCACTCCCAAAAATGCCCTTTTATCTAGAAGAAGTTACTTCTGGTTAAATAAGACATACCGCAGATGGAATGATAAAGGAGAAAGCAGAGTTGGAGCGCCCAAATTCATCTCTAAAATCCTAATACATCAGATGTGAATTCACTTAATGAACCACAGCAAACATAAAGGATTTCTAGATTTCCACCATAGATGGTTCCATGATGGTTCCACTCCTTCAGACATCAACTGCCGACCAGATGTTGAGGGCCAGCTCTTTGCTCACAGGCTGGAACAGATCCATTCTACTGCGTTTTACTAAATCAATGTTTTGAAATCAAAATTTCCCCCTTTATTCATGCATTGAATCAAACTATCTGACACTGTCAGTTGAATGTTTTGGTCTTTAAAGCTTCAAAGCTCCTTAAAACACAGTCAAATAGACATCTTTAAACGTTGGATCCTGCAACTCTGTTTACAGACGGCTATACCAAGTTCAGCTGAAACCAATAACTCCAAGTAAAAGAGCCTGGAGTATATCAAGTGACAAAAAAACCTGAGAGCATTCACAAAAATGGAATTACTGTTTTGCACAGAAACAAAAAGTCATAAATACTAGCTTTATGTCCTGTCAATCAAATCCTTTTTCCCCAGAGAAAACCAGTTGGAGGATACACTTTCTAGTTGCTTGGTTACATGGCCAAAACACTTCTGGTTACAATGAAACCTTTTCCAGGTAATGTCAGAGTTTTGCTGTTTTATGCTAACAGCCTTGACATAAATTGCAGGGTGACAGGTACAGTATGTCTGTAAAAGCACAATTTATTTCCAGAACTGAGCTTTTTTCTTTGACACGCAGGTATATACCGTGTGGACGTGAACCAGATCGAAGCAGTAGTGAATAGCTGCTGGCGGCTGCTGAATAACCTGCAACCCATTTGCTCAAAATGAGAAAATTACAATGAATCAAACGCTGGATCGTTAAACTGGCATTAAGCAAAATGTGCTGCGTAGTCGTAGCTGTGAGCCAATTCTTACCGGGTGATTAGGACAGCATTGTCGTGATGAGCCATTCCATTCTCTGGAATACTGTTCCCACTGCGGTGATGAGACAGGATGGACTTTTGCCACTTACAGAAACTGTCCAGAGACTTGTCAGCATGATGATTAATTTCCAGGTTTGGCTGAGAGAGACACACATGCAATACAGTGCAACATGAAGCAGTTGTATACGGCCAAGTGATACATACAGTACAATACAGTACAAACCTTTTCTCATCAGTGCAACATCAACTTGTTTCAGACTGAAATCTGTCTTAGCACAAAACATTAGTTTTTAGTTTGGCAGATGATTTATTTCTAATAATTCTAATGCTGTTTGTGGTCTCTCTGCCACAAACTCCACAGCCAAGCTGTTCACCATGTTGTAAATGATGGGAATAGTTACTTTGAAGTTATTTATTTGAATTTATAAGGTCACAGCAAGGTATGTGGCCTAAATAAATAATAAATGAATAACAAGCAATCTGATCAGGAGTTATAATATATAATTTTCGAAGAAGGCCTGAATTTGGAGGGAATTTTATTCCATTATTGTTGTCAGCAAATAGCATGTTTTGTAACTGGAAATTTAACGAATGTGATCCAGAACTTAAACTTTGAAAGAAAAAAAACATCCTGATCAAAAAAGGTTTTGTGTGACTTTGCGGTTTTGTTAGATTTATTTTTTCTATTTTTTTTCTTAATTTCTTTTAATTTTTTTCTAATTTAAAAAAAAACTTTATGTTTTTCCTAAAAATATCTTCAAAATTGCCTCTTTTTTTATACTTAAAACCTAATTTGATAAGCAGACTGGAACCTCAGTCTAAAACAGTTCAGCATCGATGCATCTCTATAAGCCTGTTGTTGTTCTGATGAAAATTAAAAACAGAGATCATATCTCTCCTATCCTGGCTTCTCTTAATTGGCTTGCTGTTAAATAAAGAATAGAATTTAAAATCCTCCTTTTCTCATATAAAGCCTTAAATGGCCAAGCTCCATCTGATATCAGAGATCTGATTGTTCCTTATGTCCCTAACAGAGCACTTTGCTCTCAATCTGCAGGTTTACTAGTGGTTCCTAGAATTTCTAAAAGTAGAATGGGAGGCAGATCTTTTAGTTCTCAGGCTCCTCTCCTGTAAAACCAACGACCAGTCTTAGTCCGTGAGGCAGACACCCTGTCTACTTTTAAGGCTAGGCTTAAAACTTTCCTTTTTGATAACGCTTATAGTTAGAGTGACTCAGGTTATCCTGAGCTATCTCTATTGTTATGCTGCTATAGGCTTAGACTGCTGGAGGACATAGGGACCCCTATTTCGTCATTCTGCTTCATTCTATCTCTATTCTCTGACTCTGCAAAAGCTGTTAGTTCAATCTCTAACGTTTCAGTTTCGGTTCAGCTGTGACGCCATCCTGGAGAGAGGTATCGGCTGTGCTGCTGCTATCAACACCTTTGTTTATAGATGTTGGAGATTGGCCTGTTTTTCAGTGTAGTCCCTTTTCTCTGATTATGACTGGCTAGATTTGCTCTCTTCGTTCTTTCGGGTGGGGGCTGGCTAGGAGCTCTTCTGCCTGGCTGTGTGTTTCCTGGACAGAAGTAACTTTACAGTTACTTCTGCTTCTGTCTCCTTGAACCCCAGTCGTCCTCGGCAGATGGCCGCTCACACTGAGCCTGATTCTGCTGGTTTCTTCGTGTTAAAAGGGAGTTTTTCCTCTCCACTTTCACTGCAAGCATACTTAGTGTGAGGGATTGCTCATTGTATCGTTGGAGCGGATCTCACTGGGAACACTCAGTGTATCCTGGACTATGGAGGACCAGGAGACTCATAGCCATTTAAAATTTAACTCATACAATTACTTATCCAATTTGGAAAATTAATTAATTATTTTTTTAATGGAAATAACCAGTTCCATGGTTACATCTGAGGAGCAACTGTGATTGGTTTAACTGGTTTTCAGAGTGCTCAGGGAACAGAAAAGGTTGCTATAGATGGTAAAGGAAGAAGAAAATGCAACTGCATAAAGAATTTGAAACTGCTAGGTGAAAAAGAAAATGGAAATGTTATAAGGAAGGTTGCATAATCAAATGTATAAATTGTAGTTTTTAAATATCCATTTAGAAATAGGATATAAACATACATCTTTTAAATGCAGTATTTAATGGTGGAATAATTAATACAATTTACAAATCCTATTTATTAATTCAACTTAAATGAAAAGTTAGAAAATGATTTTCATTTTGGATTTCTATTTCAGTGAGTGAANGGCTCAGGTTATCCTGAGCTATCTCTATAGTTATGCTGTTATAGACTTAGACTTCTGGAGGACATAGGGACCCCTATTTCATCATTCTGCTTCATTCTATCTCTATTCTCCGACTCTGCAGAAGCTGTTAGTTCAATCACTAATGCTCTCTCTGCTTTTTCTCATGGTGGCGTTGCCTCCTCTCTTCCGGTTTGGCTGTGACGCCATCCTAGAGAGAGGTATCGGCTGTGCTGCTGCTATATAAACCTTTTCTCTGATTGTGACTGGCTAGATGTGCTTTCTTCGTCCTCTGGGGTGGGGGCTGGCTCGGAGCTTGTCTGCCTGGCAGTGAGTTTCCTGGAGGACAAAGAGAGCACATCTAGCCTCTCCTTGGATCCCCAGTTGGCCTCAGCAGATGGCCGCTCACACTGAGCCTAATTCTGCTGGTTTCTTACTGTTAAAAGACAGTTTTTCCTCTCCATTGTCACTACAAGCATACTTAGTATGAAGGATTGCATTCGAGTCAATGAGTCGATGCAATCAACTGGTTTTCCTTAGATAGAAAACGTTGAATCAATTTGACTGTAAGATCTGGTTGAACTGTAAAGTGCCTTGAGATGACATGTGTTGTGAATTGGCGCTATAGAAATAAACTGAAATGGAATTGCCTAATTTCATTCCCAACACTGCTGCTGTATCATATTCTATGCTCTGTTGCATTGTATCATGCTGTACCAATTATGTTGTACTATATTCTACTGCACTGTATGAAATTATAGATATTGATTTTTACCCTGCTAATGATTTACATTTTTATTTACAAACATTTGCCTCTGAAAACTCGTGAAGCTCTATACTTTATCATTGTTGGATATGGAGACTTTCATTGTATCGTTGGAGCGGATCTCAGCAGTCACTGGGAACACTCAGTGTATCCTGGACTATGGAGTCATAGCCATTTCAAATTTAACATTTAAATCATACAATTACATATTCAATTTGGAAAATTTATTAATTTGAAACTGCTAGGTGAAAAAGAAACTGGAAATTTTAAAAGGAAGGTTGCATAATCAAATGTATAAATTGTAGTTTTAAATATCCATTTAAAAATAGGATATAAAGATAAAGTTTTTAAGCGCAGTATTTAATGGTGGATTAATTAATACAATTTACAAATCCTATTTATTAATTCAACTTAAATGAAAAGTTAGAAAATGATTTTCATTTTGGATTTCTATTTCAGTGAGTGAAATGTTAAATTTGAAACAGCTGTTTTTCTTCATCAATGATTGTTTTGGTTCTCCATGCTAGACAAGCATACCCAAGCTTTCCAAGCTGGCTCCACAGACACTCATCTGTTGCGTGTTAAATTGTAACAAAATTGACTAATATGGCTTTAAAAAAAAAATGTTATCAATGTTATAAATTTGTTTTGAAATAACAGGAAATTAATCAGTGATGAAGTGTTCGTTCAATAACTAAAATTAATAAAAGAAGCTGTAGAATGTCGTTTTCTTTCATTTATCAATCTAAATCATTTAGATTCAGGTGAGAATGCTGATATTTTTACTTTGATGCTGCAAAAACAGCTTCCAATGCCCTATTTGAAAAGGCAGGTGTTTTTTCCATCAGACATTCGGTATGAATGTGCATCTAAAATCTTTAATCGAGCCTCCCTGAGGTACACAGCCTTCATGTGAAGCAGTGTCCATATGGTGGGTAGTCCATCTTCTCTCTGCCTCTTTAGCCATGGCAGTCACATAAAAATATGGCTGCCCACTAATGCCAAGACCATCAGTTGTGCACTCACTCCAGGCAAAAGATTTTGAAAAAGTGAATGATTAATGCATAAAAAAAAGAGAGACATCAACTTACCTGATCTTCAGTAAGAACAATTAGACGGGTCACAATAATGTTCACAACATTTCCCAGGCTGGAATCACGGTACAGTTTGGCAACCTGACCTCCAGAAAAGAAGGAAAGACATAAAGTCAGATGTCTTAGCCCCATGAGTCTATAAATCCCTCTCTAAACGCAGACATCTGCGGCGTGTTAAGAAGCAAAAAGCAGGACCAAACTTACAATATTCATCACAGACAAGATGTAGTGCTCAATGTCTTTGCGGCCGTGGTAGCCGACCATCATCTTATCGGCAACCACGAGCGTCTCCACGAAGCGCTCAGAGCTGACCGACCTCCTCTGCCTGTGCGTGCCTTTCGACTGCTCGCTGACGTTTTGAGGGACAGGGGACAAGTGAACAGGGGAGGGTGTTCCAAATTGGCAAGGTACGTTGCTTTTCATGAGGTCTGTGAATGACAGGTAGGCAGGGTGCTTAAAGAAGTCATGAAAATAATGACATATTGTCATAGAGAAGGGCTGGTTGCTGTATGATAGAGGCAGATCGGGAATGCTCCCCTTTGAACTTTCCAGCATTTGTTTTATGATCCAGATGCTCTAAGAAAAGCTTTGACACCGTACATGTTAGAACAAGTCAATGACCATTGTTCCTGTTTCCTTTGCCTAAGTAGAAAAGTATCCAGATGGGCATTTTTCGCTTTTTGCTATTTCTGCACAGATAGCATTTTTTGTTTCAACCTGAATTAATACATTTTTTCTGTTTTAAGGGTTAATTTTTTACCTGAAAAACCACATTTAAAAACGACCAATAGTACTTGACAAATGTCTTAGACTTTATGTAGATTTTATGTGATAAAACTAGATATACATTTTCACCAAATATTTTTAAATGTGTAACTAGTATTTGTATTTAGTTTTTTTCCTTTTTTTAGGAATTTCCTAAATAAATTCCAGCAATACCAGATGTCAACTGAAGATCCCAAACTCGGGGGAAGTTAATCTCTCTATAAAGCAAAAAACACACATCACTGAAGAAGTTGCAAAACGGTTCGAAGTTGGGTTTGATTTTAGTAAATCCCACCTCTTTTTTTTCTCCTTGTTGCGACCAGTAACGTTAGCAAGTATGCAGTGTTGGCCTAGTGGGTTAGAGCAGTGTGCTTGTGTCCTGACAAGGTTGCAAGTGCCCGGTTTGATCCCCACATCCTCCACTCTGGGTTCATGAGCAAAACCCTTAACCCCACACTGCTCAATTGGTGCCACACAATGGCAGCTCACTGCTGCCCAACGAGATTGGTTAAGTACAGAGGTGAATTTCTCCAATGTTAGATCAATAAAGTTCAATTAGCAAAGCATCTACAGGTTAATTGCTGGTTTCTTCCAGTGAAGTCATTTAAAAAAAAACTTAGTTTAAGAAAGTAATTTGCTCTGACAGCTGTAGCCATATGCTCTAAAATTATTCTTAAATTTGGAACTCCATATCAATTAGGCTTACATTAGCTTCACTATTTATACTGGGGAAAGTGAGGCTTGAATGCACTGGCTAGCAGCTGGCTAGCTCAAGTGGTAAGTCACCCATCCTGCAAACAGGAAGCCTGGGTTGGTATCCCAGCTGGGGGGAAGGAGCTACCAGTGTGGGTCCTTAGGCAAGACCCTTCACTCTAATGCCTGCTTTGAGGACCGGCGCCAAGTAGTTAGGGTATTGTGCTTGGAATCTGAGTTCAAGCCCCACTCCCACAGACTGGCAATCTGGGGCCCTGAGCAAGACCCTTAACCTCCACACTGCACCCCGGGTGCTGCATTATGGCAGCCCACTGCTCCCCAAGGGGAAGGGTTACTCTGTACTTGTGACAGTGTAATATCAAACACTGGTAAAACAAACACTGGTGGCAATTAGACAGAAAAGGTGTGATTTCCTGAAAACAAAAAACCAATCACAGGCAATTTATTTTCCCAGTTGGTCCCATCTTCAAAGAAAAGTTAACATGAATACACAGAAACAGTTCCACACTAGAGAAGGAGATAATCTACAGGAGCATAGGATAAAAAGCAAGAGGAGCATGAAGTCGTTGTAATATATTGGAGCCTCATGGTAATTAATTTATACACATAGCCAGTTCACAGAAAGTAGTTTACATGTGTGTGTTTAAAAAAAAAATGCTTATATCTGTAATTATCGTGCGTGCGTCTGTTTAGCAGAATTCTGAATTTATACCCTTGGCAACTACTGCAGAATTTCAAAGCTAATTTGTTAAGCCATGTACTTTATGTATTGAATGTTTATGGATAATTGGCATAAAAAAGCCCCTGGCAGTCGCTCTTGTAGTCTCCAAGGTGACACAGCAAACATGAGGGAGATGGTGCTTAGAACCATGCTGAATATTCTGACTTATATACAAAAAGCTACAGGTGGTAATTACACTGAATCTGGTTGGACCTGATTAATGGAAGGAGATGCTATAAGACTTGAATGAGGTGGAGGTTCTAACCCTAAATCTATGTAAGGAGACTTGAAAGCTGATGTTCGCAAGCCCTCACCATCCAATTTGACTGAGCCTGATGTGTTTTGGAAAGAAGAATGGGTAAAAACTTCAGCCATTGGTAGAGCTGGTAGGGACATACCCCAAAGAGGTAATTTACATCTGCAAGTACAGTTAAAGATGGGAGCAAAGTAGAAAGCTAGTTTTAGTGGATTCATACAATAAGTGCACACTTTCAAGTTTACATTTTTAAAACTCTTTGAAACTGTTTTATTTTGATTTCCCCTCAGAATCATATCATACTTTGAGTTAGTCTGTCACACAACATCCACAATTATGAAGATTAAAAGTTGTGGTTACAATGTGACAAAATGTGAAATACTAAGGGTTTTGTAAGACCCTGTATGCAATGAATGGGCTTTTGTGAAAAATAAAGCAACACTTAGTCCTCCAGGTTGAAAGGTGACTACCGCAGGAACTCGTTTGGCTCAAAAGAGGTCCAGTTATGTCTACCAGAACCTGGGCCTAGTACCAAACCAGCACTTCCTCTAATCTACTATGTATAGACCTTCCTTTGCGTCAGCTCCACCCACACAGAATCCAACCCAGATGGAGGTTCACCAACCTGAAATGCCACAGCTGAACTCCTGGCTTTGCTCTTGCGGTGAGGGGATGGCAGACGTTTTATAAATAACATGTTGCTGAGCTCCTTCCAGGTTCCATTCACTGGAGGTGGTGGAGGAAGTGTTCTTTAAAGGCTCTATTAAATACTGTTCTTCCTCCGTTGTTATGACACCATGCTTGTTGGAGAAGAAAATGACAGTACGAAACAGGTTAGAAACCGCAAAAAAAAATCATGTTAAATTAATAATCTGAGTACAAAGGTGCAAGATATAACCAGCTTAGTGTTAAGAGGCAAAATATTGAAAATTTGCAAGTCTGTCTCTGTTCAGAAAAATCCTATCTGCTTAATTATTGTGCAAAGATGAAAGTAAAAGTTGTGACACAGAAGATGAAAAGCAGATGTTTGGATGCGGCAGGAAGTTTTGAAATCATATCTTAATAAATTTGGCACCATATGTCAAACCCTGGCAAATTGATTGCCTTCCAGTCTAATACCTACCTTGCCAGAGTACAAATGATTCTTTGTATTAGAAAGTAGTTTGTGTTCATACGGTTGCTAGGCAATTTTAAGGCACTTTCAAAATACACCTAAATGGAAAATGCTCATCTGGCATTCTTCCACTAATTGGTTTGGAGTGAATTGCTTGCTGAGAACTGTCATCACATGGAGGGGATGTTTTCTCTCCACTGCAAAGGCCCCAAAACACCAAAGATTGTAGGAAAATGTACAGTGCCTTCTTTTAAAATATAAGACAGAGCCCAATATTAAGTTGTTAAATTACAATTCTGTTTAATGGCAAGAATATTTCCTTATGCAAAGGTACACAGAGTTTACTATTTCTCTCTCCTTAGTGAATTTTACAATTTTCTGTGTACAATCTTATATAGTGGCTTGTGGATAACTATTCCCTCATTTTTTCACATTAACAAACAACAATATTTTGTATTGGGATGTTATCTGATTGATCAAATTTCTAAAAGTAGAATGGGGGTAGATATTGTAGTTATCAGGGTTCTCTCCTTTGGAACCAACTACCAGATTTATTTTGTGAGGCGGACCCCTTGCCTACTTTAAGACCAGGCTTAAAACGATCATTTTTGATAAAGCTTAACCTAAGAGTGGCTCACGTAAACTATCTCTATGCTGCTATGGGCTTATGCTGCTGGAGGACATAGGGACATTTTTCTTCACTCTGCTACATTTTACATCTTTTCTCCAATTCCACATTAATTCTCACTTTAATTTCTATCTTTTGTTCTCTCCTGATCATTGTAGCTTCATGTGACCTGGTTCTGTTTGGCTTTAATGTCATACTGGAAGGATGCATCAGCTGGGCTGTTGTTGTCAACCACTTCCATTATATATATGTGGCCTCCATGTCTCACTCTGTTTTTAGCAGGATTGTGATCTGATCTTAGGAGGAGTTGCGGCCTAGTGGGCATAGAGCTTGGAATCCTGAGGTTGTGAGTCCAAAACCAACTCCCACAGACTGCCACCCTGGGTGTCTGAGCAAGACCCTTAACCCCCAATTGTGCCCCACAAGAGCAGCCCACTGCTCCCAAGGGGGTGGGTTAAATGCAGAGGTTAGTTTCTCCAATGTGACATCAATAAAGTTAAATTATTATTATCTGACCAGTTAACCTCTTTCACATTTTTACAATATATAGGTGAAAAATTGTTGACCCCATGCACCCTTTAACTGCCAGATTAGGTGTTTCTTTGTGTTGGTCTATCACTTGAAATTCAGAGAAAATTAAAAACGTTAAGGAGCTTTTCTTCATGGCACGGCAGGGTGAAAAGCATCATGTCGATTCAGATGAAAAGTAATTCACAGAGAAGAAATTATGGAGCTTCAGTATTGCTGACAATAACACCAAAGCAGGGGTGCTCGCATCCAACTGAGTCTGTTTTGCCCTCTGCCCCAAAATATATTTATGTACTTGCATATGTTTATTTTAACAGATGAATGTTGTCCCTTAAAGCATCTGAAACAGCCCATTGTCTTCCTGGTCTCTTGTCTCATTTCCTTTTACCTTTCCATGTTTCACAAAAGAAAGCAGTGTGTTTAAGCTGTTGTTTGAGATTGGTTACCCTCAATGCGTGCCTTCAATCTATTAATTTATTGTGAAAACCGCCATTAAAGTGACAAAAAAAAGGTTTACACATTTTAAAACCAAAAGTAAACTGATTTTTACTACAAAAAAAAAAAAATAAGTTAAGTTAAATGCAATATGAAGTTAGAAAAGTCTGATTCTTCTGGAAATCTCCTTTTCCTGCACAAAAAAATACTGAACTCACACAAGTGGTACAAAGAACACACCATCAAATACCTGAGTGTCCTTTTATAACCTAAACTTCAAAAATTTGACAACAGCAGTTTTAAGAGTTTACGATAAAACTGATTTTCAAGTGGTTGCTAGTTTGACATGTTATGAAAATGTAATATGTACTGTTTTAAGCTCCAATGATGTCATTTTATACTATTCAAATCTGTTATATTAAGTGTTCTCTAATGTAATTTCTAGTATTTCCCTTTAAAGAGTGTTTCACATATATATATTATTTGCAAATATTTAGTTAAACTTAGGGATCTCAAACAATCAATTATTCTGAGGCAACATTGAAGCATTGTTTTCTTTTTTCAATAGCTTTTGTGGAGCATATAGTGCAAGAAGCCCCTCAGTTTGGATTTATAGCAAGAAAAAAAAAGCTGCCTTGGCTGCGTAAAACCCACAATAAAAGCAATTCAACACATAACACACTCATGAAGAAACACGCTCGATGCACAGGTTTTACAAGTGTGTGATGTCAGCTTCTCATACCGTCCAGACAGCTGATTACATTAAAGCACAGACACAGTTTTTGTCCATTTTTGGTGCTGGAGGGGAAAAAAAGAGCAAACACTAATTCAATTTATGATACTCAGCGCAAGTCCTGCCAACACATTTGGCCACATGTTTGCTCCCCATGAGTCTAGTTGCCAATAAGAAGCTGGGCCCTTTCTTCCTTCTTTAGAGTTACTCGAAGCACGGAGGGATAGCAGCTATTAAAACCACGTCCAGCTCCTTGATTAGCAAGGAGACGCTGGACAGTCACAGTCTCTGGATGACTAAAAGCCCAGACACAATAATTAGGCACTTTATTAGCGCTTCTAAGATTTATTTTACAGTGCCTTGCATAACTATTAATATCCCTTGATTTATTATTGTTATTTTTTTTTTTTTTACAATTTTCTAACAAGAAAACCAAAAACTCTAAATTATTTCATTAGGATTTTATGTGAAAGATTAACACAAAATTTTGCATTGTTGTAACGGAAGAAAGAAAAGCAGTTAGTTTTAAAAAAAAGCAAATAGAATACAATTAAATACGACTGAATAGAACAGAATCTTATCGTCATATTTTGTATTGTCTGAGCTTTTGTGCTTTTATGACCTAGGGGCCTTTTATATCATAAACAGAAAGTTAAAATAACAATTTGAATTAAAAAAATACTATTTAGTCCTCAATTATTTATATGCAACTCAAATTATTTTCTTTAATCGAATAAGAAGTTAGTTTTTAAAGGAACGGGGTGGGTGGCTTTCAAAAGGTAATAAAACTGTTATAAAAGGATCATCCATGTGAAGATTATACATTTCTCTGGTTTACTGATTTGCAAAATCTAATGACCTCTAGAATGTTTTAGTCTGGCTCTGCCTTGAAAATGACCCAAATATTAAAACTCAGCCAATCTTTTGTAAGTAAATAAAATAATCATCAAAAAATTGTTTTTGAAATGCTTTGAAACACTATTTCTATTTTTATCATTTCTTCACAATATCTATTGCAAAATCCTTAAACCATTTTTACAGTTTCTGAACATCTTTTTTGTATTTTTCCACTAATTCTTTGACAACGTTCGTTGCTAATTAGCAGTATTTGTAAGAAGTGGAAAGGCTTCATTGCCATGCCCCTAATCCTAGAGTCTCTAACAGACTGTGACTGGGCCTTTTACTAAATGTTAAAGTTACAGCCAATCATTAAAACAAAGACATGCCATTAAAACTAAAAGCCTTATTAAACCTGTAAATCCCTTTATTGTCCCACAATGGGGAAATTCTCTCTCTGCCTTTAACCCATCCCCTTGGGGAACAGTGGGCTGCCACTGTGCAGAGCCAGGGGAGCAATGTGGGGGTAAGTGTTTTGCTCAGGTACCCAGAATGGAGGCTGAGGGGTTACTTGCAACCTTCTCACACTGCTCTAATCCAATAGGCCAACACTTGCAGGGGTATAAAAGGGGTATGATTAATTTTGGACCTGTCTGTACTTTAGCATCAACAGCATCCAGTGCAGCTTGTGGCTCCCATGCAAACTACCTAGTAAAGAATCAGGGTTATTAAGTTATCTTAAAAGGACAATATAATAACTATAATTCGTTTCCATTCAATATGCGTTATCATCAATGAAACATGCTTAAACAAACTGTTTTCTGTTTTTTTTGTTTTTTTTATATAAACCTCTTGCTTCAATATTGAAGAAACTAATTACGCCTGCTATCAGTCTTGGTAGCAGTGAAGGTAAATGTTATAAGTGGATGCATTTGATTCACCAAAATACTCATAACTCATATTATTTGTGATATTTTAACTGGTGCTCAGCAGCTTACGGTGATATTTTTGGCATATTTTACTAAGTGTGTGCTTTCATGCCTCTGTTATTCCCCCAAATCAACAAATAATAATTAATTTTAAAACCCTCACGACATGCTCTTTGAGTCAGCTCTCTTACGTTTTAGTCCATTACAGAAAATAAGAGACCTGACTAGTTCCTAAAGGAAAGGGTTAGGGTCATATAAAAGCAACATTTTCGACATACATGCAAAATGGAGGACAATAAAGTCTGAACACACCTTCCTTGTGGTGGCAGCATCATGCTACAGGGACAATTCCCTTCAGGAGGTTTAAAGAGGCTGGAAAGGTCTAATGAGATGATGGGAGGAAAATAAAAGGTAATCCTGGAAGGATGTGGATGTATCTCTAAAGGTACATTCACAACGAATGAGGTGAACTGTTCCAGAGCTATTTCTACAGGTTTTATACACGAATGAGGAACTCTTATTTAATGCTTTATAATGCTCTTTTAATGCTCTTAGAAATAATATTAATGGCATCAACAAGTACCCATTACTCTCATATAAATATATATATATATAAACACATCAGAATCCTTTTCACCGGAGTCATTTTCACAGTCGACAGGCTGCAGACATGTCACGAATTCCTCGTTTTCTAGCCACTTTTGTTAAAATTAGCATTTTCCCCATTCTCTAGCCTTTCCTGCGCTTTTTTTTACGAACCCTTTCCGGAAGCAGTCCCGCGCAAACATATGGAACCAGTTATATCTGATATAATATATCTGACAAAATAGTTTTTATATCTTTTTTTTTTTTTTAGTAAAGCATTTTAAATGCCACGATAATCACATTTAATGAATTTTAATGCCAATTAAGGCCTTAATAAAAAAAAAAAATTAATGGCTTTTAATTATTTTTAATGACCCGCGGAAACCCTGTTCTATGCAAGGATGCTTTAAGGAGGGAATATAAAGTTGGGGATACAAAGAACACATTTTGAGGAAAGTGAATGGAGCTGAAATATGGTAAAAAAAAAGTAGCCTGAATGATTTGCTGATCTGAGCCAAGAACTCCACTGATTGGAGTTGTTTTTGCCCTAAAACCTTAATGAAACAAATTGAAAAATTTGCTCAAAAAGCACTTAAGCTTTTGCAAGGCAAAGTTAAACTAAGAGTTTGCATTTGGCTGAGACACATGAGCTGAATATGACATCTAGAGAAATTTGATCTCAGCTGCTGAGGTGTCACATTCTCAGATCACTGAAATTGTTAGATTTTTCTTCTTAAGCATGACCTCACTCTAATCTACCAGAAGATTGAGAGTGCCAAGTGGAAGGAAGCCAAGACAAGCAGTCAGATCTTCTCGGCTGAGCAGCCGATATGCATGTGTGAGTTGTCTGATATTTATATGAGGGTTTGAGGGGATTGGTGTGAATCGTCATGTACCTTATCACAAACCTGTCCCTCAGAGGTGGGTTCTACTCACCAGGCCTTTGCAGTTGCTGAGCGCCACTCTGGTTGTGCTGTGCTGGTTTTGCAGGAATCCAACATAGTGACAGTTATCAACCACATTATGACGCCACTCTGGCCCTTCTTTACCCCAGTACTCCACTGTGAAATGTTTTGACACCAAGTTGGGGTTAAGTGTCAGGTTTAAGTGAAAGTGCTTCCCGTACGCTGACAATCTGTAAAAGATCCGAGACTCTGAGGGATCTACTGCGGTGTCCCCCAGAGCACGTCTCCGACGGCCCGGCCGCTGGTGCTTCACAGCGTAACTCAGGAAGTTCCCATTCTCATCCACCCGCACCGGGACTGTCAGCTGGTAGTGCTCCAGGTAAGACATGAACTCCTCTTTCACAGGAACACCGGAAATGAGAAGAAGAGAAGAAAGGATAAGTCAGCAGGTTTTGATAGAAGCTTTAAGCCATTTTTTACAATTTGTTCCAGTCATACCTTGAGAGCTGTGCGAAAGTCTTTGAAATTCAGAAGCAGCCATCACCACAAGGCTCAGAGTCCAAGTCATTATCTTCCACAAAATTTCCATAATTCAGGGAAGGATGTGACATGGGGTGAGGGGAGGGGGTGCTGCAGCTGGGTTAAAAGCACAAAGTCAGTCTGATCCCACGCCGTAACAGGTTCATTGTTTCTCTTCTTCACTAAAACACTCCCCGCCTACGCTCCGCTGCTCATCCAGGTCTCAGAGTTTCCCTGAAGGTGAGTCCATCCACATCGCAGGGGCCTCTGAATGCATGTCAGCAGCTGGCATAAAAACACCTCCGTTCTCCATCAGTTTCAGTTGGAAGTTTAAATCAGAAACTCTGCCTGGGAAACCTGTCCCAGCTGATCCATCTGCACTCCTGTGAAGAATATTAAACTGTTTTTAACAATTGCTTTTCAACTTGTTCTTCCTCATATAGTCCATAGAAGCTAATTGCTGCTATAGTCTTAGGCTGCTAGAAGACATAGGGACAACTTTTCATCATTCTGCCTCGGTACTGCCTCAGTACTAAGTGTTGTATCTCTTTTTTTCCAATTCTGCGGTATTTGTTAGTGTTAGTGCAACCCATAACTTCTTGTTCTCTACGCTTTTTCTCATGATGGTAGCTTCATCTGGAATGTTACTATTTGGCTGTGATACCAGTCTGGAGAGAAATATCAGCTGGGGTGCTGCCATCAACACCTTGGCTTGTTTTTCAGTACTTAGTGTTGTATCTCTCCTAGAAATAGCTGTGGGTTCAAGTTTTACTGTTACTAACTATATGTGCTCCATTTCATCACTTTGGCAATAAGATTGGCTCAAAGCTTGTCTGCTTAACTGTTTCTTTCCTTATTTCCCTGTCAGGGCCACCTATGCAGCTAGTTTACTATTACCATTTCTAACATAGAAAGCAATTATAGATCAGGGCTTCTTTGTTCCTTTGGTGTGTCTTCCCCTGTCTCCTTGAACCCCAGTCGGCCTCGGCAGATGGCTGCTCACACTAAGCCTGGTTCTGCTGGAGGTTTCTTCCTGTTAGAAGGGAGTTTTTCCTCTCCACTATGGCTGCATGCATGCTTATTGTGAGGGATTGCTAAAGAGTCAAACTTAACAACACAAACTAATACCTAGTGTTGCCACATGCTCATCCAAAAGTAGTTAGGCAAAAGAATTCTGCAAAGCCAACAACTCAATTCATTCAGATGCCTCTCCTTAGATAGAAAAAGTTTAACCTGACTGTATGATTGGATTGAATTGTCTCTATAAATACATTAAGATGATATGGTTTTGTAAATTGGCCCCATGTAATTAAACTTAATTTAACTGAATTGAATGAATACCCCAAAACAAATCAATTAAATCTAAATATAGACAAAAATCACTTGAATATTGAAAAGATTCAACCACTGTGTGCTATGATCCAAATTGATATAGGCCTGTTCAGTAGAGTCCTTAAGGTAACTGCATGAGCCGGCAAGTGGAAAGTTAGAGGTTCATTTCTAGCTGTTTAAGTATCCTTGGGCAAGAACATTACTATGCCTACATATCTGCATGTAGGTGAATTAATGTCTTAATATAAGTGGGGACACATTTCTAAAAGTGCAATTTAGTCAGCTATCCACTGGTTAGGTTACCTTAGCAAACAATCAGCCCCATGGAGAACACAGCAGATAAGTCAGAGAAAAAGATAGTCAGAAGCTTGGTTAATACACATAGCCTATCTAACAGCTCATACAAATAATGACTCATATGACAATGTAAAATCCTAAGCAAAACGACTAAGCAAAACTGCACAGAGAGGCTACTGCAACATCTTAGCCATATATAGGAGGAGCTGCAATTATCCTGAGCTCAAGTTGAAAATACTCTGAAAATCTGGCCTTGAGAGGTAAAAAGGAAAGTGTTGTTAAATCGATTATATAAGCAGCCCTGTGGGTTGTCAAATACCCTATGGATGACGCATCAGTTATGTGGAAGAAGGCTGAAATTGGTTTAAAAAGAGGTTGAATATCAAATGCTGCCTATTAACCTGGTCACATTGTGAAGCAAGGTGGTGGGGACATCATGCTGTGGGATGCTGATTGGGGGGAATGGGAGTAGAGTTGGACCCTTCACAAAAGGACCATTAATAATCAGCAAGACCAATAATGGGGTGCCTACCTCACTGGAGCTCTCCATGTAAACTGATCAGCCTAATCATTTAAGCCTTACGATATGGGCGAAATATTTGGTCTAAATGTCTGAAGATTGTAACTTTAAGCAAAAGAAGGTTCCTCAAAAAAATAAAAAATAAAATAACGTATCTGTACCCTTTACTAGAGACTTTATCCTTTTTTGCAGATGTTTTTTAAGTTAACAAAAAAAAAAAAAAAACTGCGGCTAAATGAATGAAAATATATTTCAGTTTAAAAAGGTCCGATTATGCATTTCGGTTTTATACCTCGATGACAGTGGGACTACAAACGTGTTGAAAGGCAGCGTGAATCTTAAAGTCTGCATCCTCATTTTTGAAATTTCTCTTTGCTCTTACAAGTTCACGTGATAATCTGTGATAAAGCGTGGAAAGTGGGCTTAAAGTGACTCCAGAACCATAGCGGACAGCCGGGCTTTGCGTGTATTTCCCCAGCTGTGGAGCTCAAGCGCTCCAGACAGACAGCGCAACCTACTTGGCCGCTCTGACCCAGACAGCTGGCAGCCGGCCCGCATGCATTACACCGGTACCTCAATGCAACCCTCCGGGAGCCCCTGCAAATCAAAATACACCGCAGGCTTTATTATTGTTATTATCCTTGTTGCATGCAACGTGGAGCTCTTTAACTTTTTGCGCGATAATCTGCAAACTTAGTAACGGTGCGTAAAACCTGACTTGAAGTGCGCATTTTTATTTAATTCTATTTTGTATTATTTTGCCTCCATGCAACATGCAAAGAAGCTTTCTTTTAAACTCGCATTGCCTCAAATAAGCTGAAGCTGCAGCGCAAACTCAGTCTGTGGGGATTTAACTGCACGCACAGATAAACTCAGCGCTAAGATACCGACCTGATCTCAGCAGACACTGAGATGTAAGAAGTGTTGGGCGAGATTTACCATGCTCATCTTCATTGTCAGCTCCAGTCCAAGCGTGCAAAGTGAGGCTTAGCAAAAAAAAAAAAAAAAAAAAAAAAAAAAAAAAAAAAAAAAAGTTCTCTGCAACCTTTTAAGTTCCACACACAAACCTCCTCCACTGTGCTCTTCTCATCTCCTTTTTGAACTCTGCCATCCTCTGGATTTACAGTGAGTTCTCCCCCCCATCCTCCCACCCCAGCCTGGACACCCTAGCAGCAGTATCTCAGCCCCAGACACTGAAAAAAAACAAAACAAAAAAAAAAAACTCTTATTCAGCTTTTCAGAGTACTGGACTTCCTCCAGTAGAGGGGTCCATTTGAAGTCTATCTGCCCTCTTTTATAATCTGGACTGTATGTTTGATGCTTTGTGGCTCAGCGTAGCTCTGAAAGCTTGGATAGAGGAGGGAGGGGAAAAAAGGTGCATCAAACAGCAGCTAAAGTTGTGCTGGGAGCTGCTGCTCCTCACAGCGCAGCAGAGCAGAGGAGAGGGTATGTCCAGGAAGGCTTCAAATTGGCTGCTTTTGCAGGGGAGGGTGACGTCAGTGCAGATGTGCCTCTCTTCCATCAGCTGTGCGCATGTCTATCAGTGCTTAGAAGCCCCCAAAACAATTAGCATACTGTAAAAAAGAAAACTCCACACACACTCACACACACATGAATATATATATAGTAAAATACAGATGTATCCAAACCAAATTGGCCCTTTGATTAAGATTAAATGCCTATGGTAGATATATCTTATTTGAAACATTGGAGGGTGTTCAAGCAAGTAAATCCTAATGATGGTGATGTCACATCATCTCCAATTAATTTCGGTCCATACTCTGAATATAGCGCCATCCAATTTATCTTCTGTTTGATTCAGAGGGAGAGCAGCTTATGTGGTTTGGATATTTGTCATCATACGTAATAGAAGTGTACTAAAGTTTAAAGTCATAAGCTGATAGAAGGGAACTCCCCCCAAGGGTCCCTATTAAGTGCCTTGAGATGACATGTATTGAGAACTGGCTCTACATAAATAAACTGTATTGAAATGCATTTGAACAGAGTTCACTTCTTCATCCATTACATCATCCAAGTCACACTACTACTGAGATGTACACCTTACAAAAAGTAAGGAAGGTGTACATCTCTTTTTTTTTTTTTTATCATAATGACATTGCTTAAAGTCAAACTTTTAAGCTTTGCCCTTGACCAATGTCAGTGAGATCTATTGTGTAGTGTTTTAGTGAAGAAGACACCAACCAAGACCAAGGAGTACAAAGACAAGGGCAAAACCTTGGGAGGCCAAAACCATTATAAAACCAAGACCTTTAGAAGC